TCAAACAGTTCCGATTCAAACAGACATCACTAATGCCAAGCCGGTGTCCCGCAAAAGACGTGCTCCTGAATCAGTAAGACCATTCATTATACATTTATGATTATTGTCTGTTTATAACCTGTAGATCAGTGTCTGCTTGTGTTTTTGTCCATACAGTATGTATATAGCACTACACAACAATATCTCATTGCTGTTCTCTAATTTTGCTCATTGTGTTTTCCACAAAATAATGGTTTTGGTTGAAGAACATTGTTTATTTTATAAAACACTGTTTGTCAAAAATACAACACTGTTCCAAGACATTCATTTGTACATTTGTAGACAGTAAAGTACACCTCGAAGGTACAGATGTCTGCCTGTTAAGAATGTACCGTTACGAGGACAGCATTTGTTCCTTTATTTCTGAGATTCTAGGGTGGTACAACCACAATTAAAACTACATTTAAAATACATTTTTCTTCACCTTATCACATGTGTCTAACGCTGATCACAATTACAAATTTATATTAACTCATCTATTGTGCTTTTTATTTTTACAGAAATGTTCAGAGGTGGATCAGGTGGTTTATGCCCAGGTCAAGATCAGAAGATAACCTTTTTTTTCTGACTACAAGACCTGACTGTGCGATGACTTTCAGGGAGAGAGACTGCAACATCCTCAGATTTCTGTGAATTAGCAGTTCTCTGTATTTTGTGATAATTTTTTTTTTTATTTATGGTTAAGAATTGCATTATAGGGCCTTGATCTTTCCTCCAACAATGTTAAATCTTGAAAAGTTTGAAAAAGTGACATTTTAAATAGTTTAAAGTGATCTATTGTCTGGGTTGGCATTGTATATTATGCTACAGAAACCTTGTAATAAACTGACAGTACGTTTTCTGTAATTTTACAGACTTATTTCTCCAAATATTGGTTCTTATACATTATACTATTTTAAACTACTAAAATGTCAATAAAAGTCTCTTTGAAACCATATAGTTGAATTTTCAACACCAAAAGTCGACAGCGGAGATCAACATCCTATAATGCAATTCAAGACTCTTAATTAACAGATATTTTTTGCAGTGTAGTGAATCACTCCTGCCTTTGGGGTAAACATAATTTACAAATGGTGAACTCATTCACAGTTTATATCTATCTTAGTTCGCAACTAGAAATTAGACTATTTTGCATGAATTATTGATTGAATCCACTTGAATAACGATGAACCAAAAGCAATGTTGAAGTGCAGTAAACATTAAAACTATTTGTTCTAAATATCAGTTTGTTTCAGATACATATTAAACAAATATTTTATTTTATTAGGGTTTATAGTTTGCAACTGGACCAAACCAACCAAACAAACAAACAAAAAAAAAAACTTTTTGAAACTGAATTGAAAACTTCCAAACTAGTCCTAGAATGCTCATCCAATCAGAACTAAACTACTGCAGACATTTTGGTTCACTCACACTGCTATCAGAACCATGAAAGGGCACGTTTTCCAGTTTGTTCGACAAGTGTGAAGTCAGAATGAGGCCCAGGTGCAGTTCAATTATGTATATATATATACATATATATATATATATAAAACTAAGTTTGCAAACACAGTAATTCAGCTCTTCTTGAGGTTAGATCTTTAGTCTGTTAGACTTGTAATTGTAAGTCAAGGTCAGAGCACCTAACATTTTTGCGAGTTTGCATAAGTTAATTGGGAAAAAAAAGATGCACAACAATATGTTTTTAAAAGACTTTATTGTTGTCTCTGGAAACATCGTTTAGTTTGCACTCACACTTTATTTACAATTAAGAAAATCAATTCTAAACACAGTACATGGCCTTTAAAAGTAAATTAAAATAAACCATTAGATGGAAAGAAACCTAAAGCTGTCATATCTTAATAGATGTGGGTGTGTTTGTTAAAACAGCATTCTGACCGCTAAATCATAAAAGCACTGAGAGTAAAAGTAGTCAAAAGGAGAGCTGAGCACAGCCTCAAAAATAAATGTGTGAACAAGTAACATTATATTCATGCTAATCTTATTCTGACCTGCATGTATTATTCTGATATTCATGCATATTTAGAGTCAGCAACGTTGCTAAGAAACTCTGACTCTATATCTAAATGTTGCACTCTTAAAATGCTGAATTTCCTAACAGAACATTGGGTCAAATATGGGCAAACTCAACCATTGGGTTAAAAAGTGTACAGATAATTTAATTGAGAGAAAAATAAATAAAAGTCTGGGTCTATATTTGTCCATATTTGACCCAGTGTTGTGTGGTAAAAAGACAGAAAGTCACTGCTGGAGTATCAACTACTTTTGCTTAATTCACTGATATGTGAAAACTTCATAACCGAAATGCAAATAATTGAGAAGGAAACATGCATAGTCTATTAAATCACACTTCACATTATAGCAAACCTATTTATTAATCATTCTAAGCAGTAATTAAAGGCACAGTTCACTCAAAAATGACAATTGTCATCATTTACTCTCCTTCACTTGTCACAAACCTGTTTCATCTCTTCTGCTGAACACAAAAGAAAACATTTTGAAGAAATGTTGGACACCTTTAACTACCGACTTGCATAGTATCAGATTTTCCTATAATGGAAGTCAATGTTTTCAGCTTTATATCATTTTTCATTGAAAATGAAACTAATAAAGTTTTGTAACCACTTGAGGATGAACAAATAGTGAGTAAATGTTCATTTTAGTGTGAATGGTCTGATCAATAGAGATCATTGTAATGAAACAATAAATATCAAACATTGAGATCACAGACAAAGTTGGTTACAACCCATATAAGAACAGACCTCTGTGGCCCTCTGCTGGATAATTGAGAGGGGGCTGGATGCAGACCTGGTGCAGTGCAATCTGAGCTGCATCCAATGCTTTTTAATGCACTCACCTAACACCCTTACACTACCCATCCATTAAGTGCATTGTGTCTGACATTGCATCACTAAGTGTTGCAATCTCAGCTTGCATCATAAAGGCTGTATCCAGATACTATTGGAATAAATAGTCAAAACACTGTTTCGCAAACTGACAAACCTGCCAATAGCTGCACTCACATCCTATTAACTAAACATTGTAATTCATTGCCATGCACAGGTTCAATTACACTGCAAAAAAGGCTTTTGTTATTTAGATTTTTTTTTTGTTGCAGTTTTTCTAGTCCAAATATATATAAAAAAATAATAATAATCTAAGAAATTTTTTTTTCCAGTGTATCATTTCTAAAGCTTTCAAAGCGTTTATGTCTGTTTAACCAAAGACTAAAGAATACACAAGACATGTCACGTATACTTTTGAATGGGGAATAGTCAATATGGCAAATGAAGCCCCGCCTTCTAGTACAGGAGAAAATCAGCGATCCCTATACAATGACAATTCTCCCGGGAGAGGGTCTCGAACCAGCCGTGAATTTGATGTTTCTCCATTCTCCGTTTCAAAAATGGCCGCCGAGTGAAATTACTTTGGTTTAACTCATAAATTACTCAGGATTTCTCAAATTGCGGTATCTGTATAATTACTGATTCATTCAGTGCGTTTCTGGTGTTATCTGGAAGAACAGATTAAAAAAAAAGAAAAGATCTTCGTCCATTCCGCAGTACATTTTCATTATCACTTCTAACATCTGATAGAGACAATAGAGACTATATTGTAAATTTCTTCCCATAAATATATTTTGCTTGTAATATGTAATATGTAATATGTTTGTAATATGTGTTGCTAAGAACTTAATTTTAAAGATGATTTTTCTCAGTATTTCATATTCCAGATTAATTTCAAATACTTGAATCTCTGCCAAAGAAATTCTAACAAACATCAATGCAATGTTTATTCAGCTTTCAGATGATTCATAAATCTCTTTTTATAGACGTTTAATGACTGCTTTTGCAGTCCAGGGTCTATATTTATCAAGCGTCTGTAAATTTCTCATAATAACAGTGCTAAAAATTTCCTTAAGACTAAAAAGATTCTTGACTCAAAGCTGCACTTAAAAATGATCTATCATGCATCTTTTTACGGTCAGTGGCTTGATTTGTGTTTTTCTTTGTGATTAACCCCCCATTGTTATTCTTGGCTTTTGTTTTACAAGTGTGTTTGTGCACTAATTCTATTTTTTTCGTGAGAGGACATGCCTGCTTGCTGTTGGGGACTAACTGGGAGAGTTTAAAAAGACAGCAATAAGGAGAAGAAGAGATACAGCTTTAGTGGACCAGCCAGCATTATTTTGTTTTTATTTGTTTTTGTTTTTATATTTTCTTTTGGAATTTTATTTTATTGTTTGATATTCCTTTATTTGTTATCTTTGGGTAAGAAAGTAATGTTATTGTGTTGGGTAAGAATAAATATCGGTTCAAATTGTTCATGATGTTTACTCAATTCTTTTACATTACTTTCTCTCTCTTTTAAACGAGCCATATTAAAGAGAGGTCGTAACAGCATCTCAGATGTACTTTCAGTGAAGTGTAGGAGTAAATCGCAAGCGTCAGTTTTAAAAGTGATTCACGGCATATTTCTATGCCACAAATGGGATTTTGAATGACGACATAGACAAGGCCCAGCTAAAAAATCCAGCTTAAACCAGCCTAGGATGGTTGACCAGCCTGGTTTTAGAGGGATTTTGGCAATTTCCAGCCATTTTCAGCCTGGTTTTAGCTGGTCGGGCTGGAAAATGACCAGCTAAAACCAACTAAAAACTAACATAATAGGGAGGTTTACGCTGGATTTTTCAGCAGGGGGACCAATGACTGAGTAGATTTCTACATTTAAAAATAGAAATATCTAAAATAGCCAAATATAAATGGTTTAAAACAAATTAAATGTTATTTATCTGGTGCACTAAAGCAACATGGACAACTAGCACAAAGGTGCACTTTTGTATTTAGGCTTCCAGCAAATAGTTGGAAAGAGCTTTTAGTAATTGTGGTCACATGATCAAGTGGGGACGCATTAAAAAAAAGATCTGTTTCACAAGGTTTTAAATTTTTTTTTTTTTTTCAAAGTGTAAGGTTATCCCGGTACACCACTTTTGTCAAAGGTCACAGCGAAGCACTATTCAGTAAACAAGATCACTAAAAAAGAATGTTGAAAAAATGTAATTACACGCCGAGAAATCCTAAAATTTACTTTCAAACTTAGGATTTTAAGAAGCTTGATAAGTATGGGGCCAGGATCACAAATGTAGAGCGAACTTCCAGACCTTATTAAGATGCAGACTGTCATTTTACAGCCTTAGTTGAGCATATATGTTCGAAAAATTAGATTTTAGCATTTTTAAAAACCTAATAATAGCTTTGGGTATAAGTTTAATGTTACTCAGATTTTAGTCACCCAACAGAAACATTAACATTGACATCCAGGCAAATGTGCTTCCCGTATCCATTCCAGAGGTTCAGCTGATAAACTCCAGAGTCGCTGCTTCTGGTATTTTTCACGGTCAGAGATGCGCTTTGATGGTGCAGCTCCAGCCTGCCTCTGAATCTCTCATCATCTCTGTATGAAGTCTTATTGACGTCTCCGTTCTTTCCAGATGCTAGCATCACATCTTCAAATGTCCACTGCAGTTGGTCATCTTGCTCTACATTAAAATTAGTGATCAAAATTAAGCTTTCTCCCGCCATCACACATACGGTGTTAGGATCAGATTCACCTAGAGAACAAACAGAGAAAGTTGTTTAGCCTGAGATAAAACTAAAATCAGTCTCTCTAGGCTCTTTTCTGATTTTTGCAGCCTAAAATGACTGATTTTGCTGATTTTCAGCAACATTAGCGGCATTATTTTATTTTATTTGCTGTAAAAAAATATAACATCAACATTTTTTAATTATATTTAATAATGTAGAAACTGAAAGACTCACCAAACACAAAAACTCTGAATTTCCTGTAAAAGGTCCTACTGCTACTGATGATGTGTAGTTTATAAACTCCAGAGTGTTCACTAGTGATGTTTCTGATGGTCAGAGATCCAGTCCTCTTGTCCAGCAGCAGTTTGTTTCTGAATCTCTCGTCGGCTTTAGTAAATGTGCTCTCTTTGGTTTCTACATTCATTTGAACTATGAGGTTGTCTTCATCTCCAAACATCCACAGGATCAGATCATCTCTTTGTAATTCATCTTGAAAATTCAGAGTGATGTAATTTCCCTGCTTTTCTAATATCATACTCGCTGAGAAAACATAAAAGAAAGAGTTGAAATTAGATCAAGCCACAATGTGAAACTAAATGTTGACGGTAAAAGACTGGAGGAAATAATACTGAACCACTGTGATGACAGACTTTGGTTAAAGTATTTTGGTATGACCAAAACTACATTTCAGATCATTTACAACAGGGGTGTCAAACTCAATTCCTGGAGGGCTGAAGCCCTGCACAGTTTAGTTCCAACCCTGCTCTAACACACTTACCTGTAGGTTTCAAACAAGCCTGAATGACTTAATTAGTTTGATCAGGTGTGTTTAATTAGGGTTGGAACTAAACTGTGCAGAGCTGCGGCCCTTTTGGAACTGAGTTTGACACCTGTGATTTACAATGTGGTTGGTCTGCTGGTTTGTCCATTATTGTGGTCCCATCATGCCATTTATCTTATCACATGATGTGTTAAAACAAAATCACATACATATTTGATGCATATGCTGTGTGCACGCATGTTTCCTTCATCTCTGGATGAATTCTGAACATAAAGGAGTTTGAGCTAAATCACAGACTCACCTCTGACAAAAACGAAGTACCGTTTGTCCGATGACTCTTTGTTGCTGTTGATCTTTAGTGTATAAAATCCAGTGTGTTCGGGTCTGGTGTTCTTGATGGTCAGAGATCCAGTCTTGTCATCCACCATCAGTCTGCCTTTGAATCTCCCATCAGCTGTATCATATGCAAGGATCTCCCTGCCTCCTTCCATGATTTCAACTATGCCTTCTTCTCCACACAGCCACTGTATCTGCTCTTTTTTACCAATTTGAGCATCAACCTTTAGAGTGACAGCATCTCCCTCCGTCACTGACACTTTGTTGACTGTGTCAGAAAAAAGAAAATGAGATCCTTTATCACTTTAGGGAAAAACTAATCCAAGTGAATTAATAATGCAATGAAGCCTATTAAAATTCAGTTAAAATGGCCATATAAAAGCAAAAGCAGGTTTTAAAAAAGCTAAATTAAATTAATACATGTCATATGATATTTCTAAGTGCTTTCTCAATGAAAATAATGCAAAACAAAGCCAGAAGGGAACATTTGTGTGGCACTGATGCCCCATTCACACCGGGGCATCAGCGTCAACGCTTCCCATTCACTTTGAATGGGTGACGTCAGGCGTTGCCGAAATGCATTGTGGACTCGTCAGCGCCGCTTCAGGGGCATTGGTCGCTTCAGAAGTTGGGACTAGCTCAACATTTCAAGCGCCGACGGAAACGTCAGCCAATCAGATCGCTGTATGCAAATACACCAGCTAGACAGTGGTCTATTGCTGACTGAATTTCATTGGCTGACGCTGCTATGACGCTCGCTTTAGCCCCAACTTTAGACACGCTTTGACGCTCGTAAAAAAACACACACATTACCTTTTCATTATTAACAAAAATACCACAAAACATTATGTCAGTTGATATTACTACACACATATTGTAACTGTGATATAATAATAGATTACATGCATACATTTCAAAGCATCAACATCACAGAAATACTCACAGTTTACCAGCACTCTGAAGCTCTTGTTTGTGGTTGCCCTGCTGCGGTTGCTGATCTGTAGTTTGTACAGTCCTCTGTGATTGTCTTTGATGTTTGTGATGGTCAAAGATCCAGTCTTCTTGTCGAGTTTCAGCCTGTCTTTAAATCTCGCATCAGGACCGTCGAACGTCTCGCTGGTCTTTTTTATCTTAGCTATCTGTGTCTGACTATTATCATCTCCAAACATCCACAGGATCAAATCATTTTTCTGTACTGCAGTTTCAGTCTCTAAAGTGACAATGCCTCCCTCCATGACTGATATTACATTCTCTTCATTTGTGGCAGAAACGCATAGAAAAGGAGAAATACAAAAGACAAATTTCATTTAGTTGCGAGCTTATGGTAGGTAAATTATGTATGTAGTAAATATTTAATGGCTATAAAAATTGTAGTACCATTGAAGCATATATAAAAACTCTTTAAAGACTGATTTCAGGATTCCACTTTACCCTTAACATTAGCACTGTGATTACACAAAAAAAATAACAATTAAGCAGATCTTAAGAGTTTACAGATGTAATTGTTAAAAGTGTTCAGTTTAACCTTCATAGATTTATCAATAAATTACTTCAAAACAATATGAAATATTAATTAATGCAATAATGATAGTGATAAAAGGTGGATGTTTTCTGTAAAGTTTGATATTTTTAGCCTTCTACTTAAAAGTATGTGGTTATAAGAGTAATGTTATGTACAATGATGTAAAAATGCACTTCTTCATTTGCTTTGTATAAGGCTGAGGTTATCCAACAGCAATAGGCAAATAGGCATGCTATTTTAATTTTCCCCCAAAGATTTTTTGTGCTGAACAATTATTACTAACATTATTAACATTACCTTTAGTTTAAAAAAAAAAAAAAAATATATATATATATATATATATATAAATCAAACTTACACAACCTGCACTCTGAAAGAAAAGTTGATACAAAAATGGGGTGGTTCCCCCTAAGGGGGTCAAAAAAACATTTATTAATAATGTTTTTTTAGATACAAACGCGTACTATTTTAAGGTACCGACCAAGCTTTACGATTTGTGTATGATAATGGACATGCACAATATTCGACTGTTTTTTAATCGTTTGATTTTTAAAGAAATAATAATTTATGCAGTCATGCACATGTTTTGACAGCAAATATGACAGTAATTTGATGCTTTGTAGAAGTTGCAGAGACTTCAAAATGCTTTTTTGAGCTCATTTAAATTTATTGAATAAGAAACTTAAATATGCCTAGGGTACTATAATCAAGAAAATCTATAAAGTAAAATAGCTAAATACTCTTGACACATGAAAGTGTAAAGCCTGCAACTCAAAACATTTGTGGAAAGTTATTGGGTATCATATTCAACAAACCGTTTTGATTGTCAAAACTATTGGCACAGCAGCATAATGACATCATCTGTTTAATATTCAATTATCCATCTGAGCAAAATTACATACAATTCTTAATAAACAATTTGTTAGACACCCAACAACTTTACACATTTGTCATGGGTTGCAGGCTTTACACTTTCTTATGTCTATATAAATGTATAGTTTTACTTTTAGAGTGGATTTTGTTATAGGATATATATTTTTTTTCTCCTGTTTTAATCCTGTGGCGTAAACATAGGTTTTTGTACCTTTATTTCAGAGTGCACCATAACAGTTTTTTTACTTCTGTTTTTTTTGTGATATATTCTGTTATTTACTGCAAATGAATACAGTATATATAACCTGTAGGTTACTATTGTAGGAAAATATCAGCAGTTGGTATATAATGTACATACAGCATCACCTTTGCTTGAAATGGCACGATCTAATTTTGTTAATATGAAATAAGCTGCTGCTCCTGAGCAGGTTTTAACTACCAGAACTCTTGCCAAGACAACAACTCTGATAAATTTTGAATGAAAATATCCTGGATCATGTCAAATCATTAATTACTAAATCCAGCTAAATGAATAATCCACATAAGAAGAACAGACCCCTGATCTTTACTTACATTAGATCGTTTAAACACTTAAGATACTCACGTTTTAGAGTAAGAATGAATGTTTGGTATGAGGTCCCTGTGCTGCTGATGATCTTTAATTTATAGGATCCAACATGTTCGCTTGCTGTGTTTGCTATTGTTACTGATCCAGTCGTACTGATCGAGTCCAGCATCAGTCTGTCTCTGAATCTCCAATCAACACCATCACATGAGGAGCACTCTCTGGTATTGACTTCAGCAAGAACAGTCTCTTGCGGTCCAAATGTCCACAGTATCTGATCGTCTCTCTGAATCACAGCATCAGGCTTTAGAGTGACAGGATGTCCCTCCTGTCCAGACACCATCTTCACTTCATCTGTCAAAGCAGCACATAAACACAGTGAAATGTGGATATTATAAAATGAATCTAAATTTATTATTTGATTAATTGTTAATGAACTAAAACCAATACCACTACATGAACTGACTTGTTAGTAGAGATGCAGACACTCCCATTCTACTGCTTTACTGCCTTCACATGAAAACAAAAAATGCAGTGCTGTTAATGTCAGGGAAAACTCTGGCTTGCAGTATGTTATTGCAAAAATAATAATGTAATCCATGGTAACAAAAACAGAAGGAATCACAAGAGCAAAGAATAAAACTGGCCATGATGGAAACAGTTTCTTATTTGACAATAATAAATCTGATTTTACACTTTCAGCACCATTAGCTAATCACCCAGCTAATCTCTGAAATGTTGACAGGATCAGAATTAAATGATTTTAAAGTTGCCGTTTATACTATACCAGTAAAGATCAAATGACAAAGGGAGTTCTGAGAGAACTGATCTAAACCGACCAGTCATGTGCAAAAGAAGGGAGAAACTGTTCCAACCAAGACTCTAAGGGCTCTATTTTAATGGTCCATGCGCAGAGTGCAAAATGCAGGGCGCAAAAGCTTTCAGTGCGTGTCAGAACGTGTTTTTGCTAATTTAAGGATGGGAAAATCTGCTTTGCGCCGTGGCGCATGGTCTAAAAGGGTTGAGTTTATTTTCTTAATGAGTTATAGTTGTGTTTTGAGAATAAACCAATTAGAGTCTCATCTCCCATTCCCTTTAAAACCTAGCTGCGTCGCGCCAAGAGCGCATTCGCTATTTACAGGACGCAAAGTAAGTCTAAGTGGAAAAAATGAGCATTTCACTAGCAAACAGTTAACAGTTAACAGTCTTTTAACAGAAAACTGTTAAACAGAGCATCTACTGCGTGAGAATGAGAGATAATGGATCTACTTTCACTTTCGCTCTTGGATAGGGAAACCTTTACGCACAGACATCAATTAGTCTATAAATAATTAATTTTGTTTGTTAAGCGCAAATATTGGTTTCAAAACCATTTCTAAATTCAGTTCTAATTTCCAGCAAACAAATAAATGAACAATAATAAGAAATGGTGCTCAAAAACCTGAGTTATATAAGATATAATAAGAATATATATAGGATATAAATATAAAGGATTAAAATATTACAAGACATTATTTTCTAGCCTACATACATATAAAAAACACTGCCTTCATGTCTTCTTCATCTCGGGAGGCTTTTTCAGTTCATTCATAACAATTTGCTTTTGTATAATATTATTATTATTAGCAGTATTATTTATTATATCCATATGTATATTTGTTTTATTAAAAACAAGCTTAGATTTGACACCTGCAGGTTTTAGACTATATGGGGCACAGCATGTGTTTTAGGATATAACTCAGGTTTTTGAGCACCATTTCTTATTATTGTTCATTTATTCGTTTGCTGGAAATTAGAACTGAATTTAGAAATAGTTTTGAAACAAATCTTAACAAACAAAATTAATTATTTATAGGCTAACTGATGTCTGTGCATAAAGGTTTCCCTATCCACGAGAGCGAAAGTGAAAGTGGATCATTTATCTCTCATTCTTGCGCGGTAGATGCTCCGTTTAACTGTTTTCTGTTAAAAAAACTGTTAACTGTTAACTGTTAACTGGCGCGACGCAAGGCTCTTAAAGGAAACGGGAGATGAGAATCTGATTGGTTTATTCTCAAAACACACCTATAACTCATTAAGAAAATAAACTCAACCCTTTTAGATCATGTGCCACGGCACAAAGCAGATTTTCCCGTCCTTAAATGAGCAAAAATGTGTTCTGACATGCCTGAAAGCGTTTGCGCCCTGCGTTTTGCACATGGACCGTCAAAATAGAGCCCATAATGTCATCACTAGCACAGGTTTGTGAGCTCTGCAGCGAGCGTTTTCAATTTATTAATATGAAATTTGAGTGTAATGGAATGCGAGACTACCAATCTTTGTTTACATGGATGTGCCCAGGCACCAAGACAGTTGATCCAGTGGTCGATCAGTAACATAAAAAGTGCAGCACACTGCTCTTTATTAATGTCAACAAAAGGCAGTGGAGTGCATCTCACATGCGAGTCTCTTGGTATTGCAAGCAGCATATTCATTAATGTATTCACAAGATTAACATTATATCAGACATGCTGTAAAAGGCATTTTTTACAGTCACCAGACGTTTCTGACAGACAGCCTAGAGACATTTCTCAAACCTCTTAATTTGTAATATGGTGCTGAAAAATCTTTGTTTAAAGGGGTACTGTATATGGCCCTTACCCTTACACCTCTAAGCAATACACTGAAAATATGTCTGCAAAACATTTATTTTTGTTGAATTTAAACATTAGTTAACTTGATTAGTTTCTTTAAATCCAGCCCAAATAAATCGTTTACAACCACTTAATGTAAAATAATAATAATAATAATAATAATAATAATAATAATAATAATAATAATAATAATAATAATTATTATTATTATTATTATTATAAATAAATAAATACATAAATAAATAAATAAATAAATAAATAATTTAGATTAAGAATAAATAATCTTTTTTTTTTTTTCCAGTGTAGAGAATCAGGACACCACAGGACACAAGGGGTAAGAGGAAGGGCTAATTGGAATCACATTGGAAATAATCACAGTATATTTTGTTTTAAGGCACATGGCTGTTTGTTGTCCCACCTTCATGTGTACATACTCATGAGCTTAAGATCAAATTTTGAGTTAACAGAGAAAGTTGATCATCAGGGTCATGGTAGAAACAAACCTAATTACTCTGGTTTGGTTTAGTAAACTTCAAAGTAATCATATCCTAAGTTTGTTTAACCCCCTACATGGAACAGTCATCTAATCTCCATTTCTGAGTTTTTATCATTGACCATTATTAAATTTAAAGATTTGAGATACTTACATGTAAAAGTTAGTCTGAATGTTTGGCATGAGGTCCCAGTGCTGCTGATGATCTTGAGGTAATAGTCTCCAGCATGTTTGCTTGCTGTGTTTGTTATTGTTACTGATCCAGTTGTAGAGTCCAGCCTCAGCCTGTCAGTGAATCTCCCATCAGCACCATCACCTATGTAGATCTCTCTGGTATTTCCATTTACTTTAGCTATAAGAGTCTCTTGCGGTCCAAACATCCACAGTATCCGATCGTCTCTCTGAATTACAGCATCAGGCCTTAGAGTGACAGATCCTCCGTCCTTCACCGACACGATCTTCTCTTCATCTGCCACAGAAGCAAATAAACATGGTCAAATTTAGATAGTATGAATTAATCTAATTTATTATTGGATTAAATGTTACAAACAAATGTCAATAACACCACATAAACTGACTTGTTAGTAGAGATGCAGACACTCCCATTCTCCTGCTTTACTGCTTTCACATGAAAACCAAATGTGCAGATGCCAGGGCAAACTCTGCCTTGAAGTATGTTACTGCAATAATAATAATGTATTCCAGTGTAACAAAAACTCAAGGAATCACAAGGTCAAACAAGAAAACTTGCAAAAACTATAAGCACAATGAACAGCCAAAGCAGAAAAACAAACCAAATACAACAAAGAAAACTAGGCATGCACCAAAATTTAAGGTCACAAACCCAACGTTCTGGATCCACTTTGTCCAAAACCACTTTGCAATAAAGTAATTATTATAATAAACAATATAAAGTAATATTGTAAGAGTTTTTGAACTTATATAGATAATTAAAAATTTTGATACTGATTTAGCACACATACAAAAAACAAATATATCTCATATCGCAGCACTTTTTGCGTCCAGTGTGAAAGCTGTTTTATATGGACATATTAAATATGGATATATTATTCTGCGATCACACTTGAGTTTATGGGTGCAAAACTCTGTAGTACGACGCTGCGAAAAGGGGCGGGAATAAACAAGGTTATTAGACATTTGAAAAAGCTAGCGATATTCATATTTTTTAATTTCTGTGTTTTATGTAATGTAATTAGTATTTATATAGCGCATTTATTGTGTATGGCCGTACACCCAAACCGCTTCACAATCATGAAGGGGGTTTCTCCTCACCACCACCAGTGTGCAGCATCCACTTGGATGATACGACGGCTGGCACAGGACAACGGCGCCAGTGCGCTCACCACACACTAGCTATTGGTGGAGTGGAGAGACAGTGATAGAGCCAATTCGGTGGAAGGGGATGATTAAGAGGCCATGATCGTAAGGGCCGATAGAGGGACTTTGGCCAGGACACCGGGGTTACACCCCTGCTCTTTCACGAGAAGTGCCATGGGATTTTTAATGACCACAGAGAGTAAGGACCTCGGTTTAACGTCTCATCCGAAAGACGGCGCCCACTGACAGTGTAGTGTCCCCTTCACTTTTACAGGGGCATTAGGACTCACACAGACCACAGGTTGACCGCCCCCTGCTGGCCTCACTAACACCACTTCCAACAGCAACCTAGTGTTCCCTAGTGGTCTCCCATCCAGGTACTGACCAGGCTCAGCCCTGCTTAGCTTCAGTGAGTAACCGGTCTTGGGCTTCAGGGTGACATGAAAAATTTTATGTTTTGATCCACGATTGCTCTCACGCACTCAAGTAATGCAATTTCGCAATTTTGCAACGCAGCAAACTGTGAAACTTTTCGCATGAGCCTGCATTTCCGGTATGACGCATTTGCAGAGAAAAGTGCAATGTGACCCCAGCTTTAAAAAGCAAAAACTAATAAGCAAACAGGGAACAGCTGGAGATGATCACTGTAATGGGTGCAGTGGTATATGGGAAATGCAGTCCAGGAACACACAACTAGAATGCCCTCTAGTGGCCATACAGGATAAGACCAGTGGTGACTTTGACAGTTAATAAGATGATTAAAACTACATACAGTAGCACAAACAAAACAGATGCAGGTCAAACTGATGAAATATACACAAACTAATCGAATTTGTTAATATCATGCAGCTCAACACTGGACAATCACAGACTTTAACATAGCTTTTAACAGAGCTGGTATTAAAGTATTTTATATACTGACTGTGAAATCTTGAATGTTAAACCCCACTGTAGGACAAAGAGGCTGCATATTTTACATAGCATATTTTAATATTTTCATTGTTGCTCTTATAGTTGTGTAAATTGCTTCCTTGTCCTCATTTGTAAGTCGCTTTGGATAAAAGCGTCTGCTAAATGACTAAATGTAATTGTAATACTTACACATCAGACTTTGCTGTTCAGAGGTCTCTGCTTGATACATCTCTGATTCTTTGCAGCACATAGAAACAGAAGTATTACAAACATTTGGAAAAAAAACTTCTAAAAACTCATCAGACAGTCCCCATTTTGAACACAGTATAGCTTTGGACAAAATAAAGAGATTGCTTGATCAATTTATGGAGTTTCTGGATTCTGGATACAGAATTTATAATCTAGTATGACATTTTTTATTGTTTTATTGTAACCAACAAATCAAATCGCAGTTCTTCTGAATTTTGAAAGGTTTTTGAAATATTTCTTTATTTGTCATTTTTTGGCCATTTTTTTTTGTGCCAACACAAATCAATTAAGCTAACTGAATTGTTTTTACAAACTTAAGTTTGATTGATCATAAAACAATCAAGTTGTCAACAAACAAAACAAGAATTGCATTGATTCCGCTCATTTTAAATAAGTAGTTTAAACAAGCAGAAAAATGTTTTGTTTTGAGTGAATATTTTATCTTCTGAAAACTTACGAAATCAGTATTTGGTGGAATAACCTTGATTTTCAAACAACAAACAAAACAATAAATTTACGTTTTCTAAAAAGCAAAACAGTTCAATGACATAATGAAAAAAAATAACAAATTATATTTGAAATTCAGAATAAAGCAAAAGGTTAACCCTTAACTCAAACCCCACATCTAAAAATCCAGTAATATTAGATTAACTGGAATGTTTATGCGATCTCTTTTTTTTTTTACAGCTGTAAATGTGAAAAATATATCCTAATCTAATCAATGCTTGTACCTGGTCTTGTGTTAAAGAAGCCAAACAGCGGATTATCATCAGAGAGAAAACCTGAAAAGGCAAAAAAGTAGAATTTTGTTCTAAAGTAAAACTATTGTGCTAAATATTATTTATTATTTTATTTAAAATTATTTAAACAATCAAATCTGAAATTCAAGTGCAAATCACAAGGATTAAGGTTTTCATTTTAGAATTTAGATTTTTGCTTGCTTTAAAACGTAAATGTAAAAAAACAAAATCTATTCTCCTGTAAGAAACCACTGAATATCACATCTATGACTAAACAGATACCAAATATAGAAATGTTACCACAGGATTTAAAAAAAAGAAAAACTTTTTCAGGATTAGAAAATATTTAATTTATAAAGTATTGAGCAAAATATAGGGGATTTAAATATAAATCTCAACATCATAACTATTATCTATACATGGAAACATTTACATTAAAATTGTCCTGTACAGCATCATTCATTTATCTCCTGTTGTCTTCACTGTAATACTTACGTCTTTGTATGTCAGGTAATTTGTGGCGATGGTAAAAAGCAAAAGCAGCTGCTCCTACAACCACCAGCAGAACTAAAACAGATATTCCTGCCACATCACCTGGAGATAAACCTGGAACTGATCAAGAAAAACAGTCAAGAATAAACAGCATGAAAATCAGCAGCATTATATAGTGGTGATCTGGTTGATCTTTATATTAATGAGCATTGACAAATTACATATAAACTGTACATCAGCTCCAGTCCAAACACATCAATGTATCTGCCTTCTTAGGAATGATATATTGCATTTGTGTATATATATATATATATATATATATATATATATATATATATATATATATATATATATATATATAGAGAGAGAGAGAGAGAGAGAGAGAGAGAGAGAGAGAGAGAGAGAGAGAGAGAGAGAGAGAGAGAGAGAGAGAGAATTGAATTGAAGTCAGAATTATTCTGCCCTCTTTGAATTTTTGTTTCTTCTTCAAATATTTCCCAAATGATGTTTAACAGAGCAAAGAAATGTTCACAGTATTATTTTTTCTTCTGCTGAACAGCAGTTTTTAATTTTTTAAACACTGTTTTAGGTCAAAATTATTAGCCCTTTAAGCTAATTATATATTTTTCGAAAAACTACAAAACAAACCATTGTTATACAATAACTTGCCTAATTCCCCTAACTACCCTAATGCGTTTCCCAAACAACTACGTAACTTGCGGCTGAACTATCATAGTACGATGCATCGTTTGGGAAAAGAACTATGTGGTGACCAGTGTTTCCCAAAACGAATAGTTTCTCTGTCGCAGATACATCGATTGAACCACATTAGTTACAATGTAAAACGCCCATGATAGTGCTCTAAACTGGGTGAAGTAACTACTTCTTTAGAGAAGAACCCATAACTTCTTTGCGCAAATTATATTGTTTTACACGATCACACATTTAAAATAAAATCCAATATTAAATTTGGTAAAAACATGCACTCGCTTTCCATATTAATTGAAATATATGAAAATGGCACATAGGGTTTGCTTTATTAATATTATTGAGAAGTTGAACATTACATATTCTATTCTAAAACATATCACTTACAAAACCTAACAGGTATTGTAATATCAAATAAATCTTATAAATAAATAATGAGGCTATTTATTATAAAATGAATAAATGTAATAATTATTAGAAATGAAAAAATCATACTTTAATAACGATATTAATGATGATTGATGATGATGATTATGATTATTATTATTAAGTAAGATATTTGTTTTTTGTTTGAAAAGTCAACTTATACATTTTAACCCACTGCAGAAAGTTTTAACCAGCAGGCCCATGTCATATATAGTACAGCTATTTAATAGATAACCTACTATTATGTTTTCACAAGCTTTGGAGACGTAACATAAATTCCGCTTTTAAATATTAGGTCACCTATAGCTTTAGCTTGATTCTGTGTTCAAAATGACATCAATGTTTTCAAAGAGCACTGCGAGGGCAGCACAATTGAAAACATAAAGATTGCTAAAACTGAACTTTACACAACAAATTACACCTAAGGGAGATGACCTTAAAGCTTTTTTTTATTTTTAATAATTCCAACTTTGAATGCTCTAAATGAATAGGGCATAGGGGGGATAAGTGGGAATAGAACACAGCCAGGAACTATGTTTCAAACTACAGCTCCAGAGCTGTAGTTGCGAGTGCTCGAGTTTGCGATGCATTTGTAATGACGAAATTTGCGACCTTAGTTGGCTAACGATGGTTTTGGGAAACGGATCCCTGCCTAGTTAATTCAATTAACCTAGTTAAGCCTTTAAAATGTCACTTCAAGCTGTGTAGAAGTGTCTTGAAAAATATCTAGTCAAGTATTGTTTATCATGGCACCTCTCATCATGGCAAAGATAAAATAAATCAGTTAGTAGAGATGAGTTATTAAAACTATTATGTTTAGAAATTTGTTGAAGAAATCATCTCTTTGTTAAACAGAAATTGGGGAAAAAATGAATAGGGGGGCTAATAAATCAGAAGGGCTAATAATTCTGACTTCAACTGTATATGCAGTACATATAAACAAACAAGCTTTAGCCTTTATAATATGGCAGACAGTGCATGTATAAAAGCCCACAAAACAGCCTCTAATAGGGGCCTTGGTTTATAGATTCATCTCTGGAAGACACACAGTATAAGTTAAATTGACTAGTTGGAGTCCTATTTAATTTACAAAACAAAAAATGTAAATAAATATATTCTCACCATTGACAGTAACATTGAAGAAGAAATATGAATTCAAATTATTCCAGTTGATCTCTGCTTTATAAAGTCCAGCATCTGAGGTTTTAATCTTCATAATGGTCAGAGATCCGGTCTGATTGTCCAGCTTCAGTCTGTCTCTGAATATCTCAGTGTCATTGGGGGGATAGGTGATTCCATTTCCACTGATTTTAGCGATTGGTAAATTTCGATTTTTTAAAAACCTCCATAACAATCGTCTGATTTCCTTTATATCAGTAGTGTTATAGTTCAGTGGAAGAGTCACAGTCTCTCCCTCCATCACTGACATAGACACATTCCTTTCAGCACTAAACACACCTGCAGAACACACAAGAAACAGCGATTGAAGCACTGCTAGGAATTTGATTGCTTCTTCATTTCATTTCAGCTTCCACAAGTAAAAAAGCGAGTGCATCAGCAACTGTGAAAACCCCACTGATGGGTGGAGATGATCCTGATAGAGAGAACATTCAAAATGAGACAAGTGGATTTTAATCAGACATGTCTTGTGCATTGAATGCATTTAGAATGTGTGCATGTAGCTTGTTTGAAAAAGCAAAAACAGTTGCCAAAATCACAATCGCTATATTCGTTCATAAAATTGCAAATATGATTATTTTGTTCATATTGCACAGCCCTGATAGCAAGTAAACAATCCAAGCCAAGACAATTTCGCTACATTTTCTTAAACATTTGCAAATTATATGTATTATCAGACAATTTCATATATATATATATATATATATATATATATATATATATATATATATATATATATATATATATATATAATTATCTGATAATCCATGTAATTTACAAATATTTGAGAAATGTAGTGAAACATGGCCTACTTTTTGGCAACTTTAATGAATTAAAAAATTTTTTTATTATTATTATTATAATTTTTTTTTCAGCACATACTTTTCAGCACGTACGTCAGAGTTACAGAAACATTACAATAATGTCACAAATAAGAAGATTGTTTTATTTGCTTTATTAAGCTTTAAGCGTTATTTATTGATATTAGTCAATTTTCCCAACCATACATTTGCCATAACAATAAAAGTGTTTGAAAAACATCTATAAATAATGACGCAATATTTTAAATTAATTATGAGCATAGCAGAATTCAATAGATGTAAAATCATATCTTAAATTATTACGTTTAATTGATGTAAATACATTGTTTACGTTAGTAAATTATTACATTTTAATTGATGTGAAGGGGAGTAAAAACAGTAATACTGGTGACACAAATGAATCACCAGTGAGAAATGATCTTCAGTGGTTTTACCCATTTGAAAAGTAACACCAGTGACAATTTTCACGAAAAATGCATTTAAAAAAATGTCTGCTCCAAGGTATCTAACCACATGTTGACAATCATGATATACTCATTAAATTAACTAACATAATCCATTTGTTGTATTTTATATTCCATTTTACTTTATAAAGGAGCTCACACCAACTAAAAGCTTTATGAAAACATGCGATGCTGATAACTCAAAGCGAAACCGAAAGAAGCCCTAAATGAACATAAATCACACACTTACCGTATGCTGGTAGTAGAAACAGAATGATCTTTAAAACGGTCTTCATATTGTTGCCGATTCCAGCTAAATTTGATTTTTAAAAAGTTTTTTTTTTTTTTTTTTTTTAATTATGTGTTTTTCCTGAGCCACATATAGCACGCTCTGAAAGCAACAAACCTGGAGATTTGAAAAAAAGACTTAATAAATTAACTTTAAGACAAAATATAAGAAATGAGCTAAATTATAAACCTGAGTTCATTGCAACCTCTTACAGTCTATAACTGCAACGCACAAATTTGTCCCTCCCGGACTAACCGTTCAAAAAAGTTAGCGTCTCGAGTCAGTATCCACAAGTTATTAAAGTTTGTCACTTTCAGACGTACCTGACAGCCAATGCGACTCAGAAAAAAGCTAGTATCCCACAAAATATGTTAATCTAAGTAAGACATGCCCCGTTTTCTTTCGGGCTGGTGTGGGTGGAGCATGCGCAGAAAAACAAGCACACAAATTGACGCAACAGCTGAGATTTATTTTCAGGGATGACTGGACGTGACTGGAGTCACTGGACAAATCGGAAAAGTTGGGGGTTTCCAAGTAAGTGCATTCGTTTCTATCCCCGCTTTCGTTTACATTTATGGGGGAAAATAAATACAGAAAAAATTAATGTCTTAGAAAAGCAATAATAAAATTAGGCATTACAGAGGGACTGATATTAACAAGATCTCCTTTGATTAGCTTTGTTTAACATGAGAGGTAGAAAAAAATGAGACCATCGATCAGTCAAGTGACAAAAAACTTTGTGAAAGAATTATCATTACCTACAGTAAATAATACAAATTAGGCTAAAGCATATGGGCATAAATAGGAGTGAAATTATAAATCATGTACAAACAAACAAACAAACAAACACACACACACACACACACACACACACACACACACACACACACACACACACACACACACACACACACACACACACACACACACACACATAATGTTAAACAAAAGAAAAGTACAATTATTCACTAAGGCATTTTTGGTGAATGTATATATATATATATATATATATGGTTTGAGCTGATAGAAAGACAACAGTAACTTAAACTCACTTCACTTCTTACTGGCGTATGCAAAAGAGCATCTCTGAACACACATGTTGAACCTTGAGACGGATAAGCCACAGCAGCAGAAAACCCCACCGGGTGCCACTCCTGTCAGCTAAGAATAGGAAACTGAGGCTACAGGCCCGTAACCATCCTGGTAAAAGGAGTGGTTCTTTTTTTTCTCAAAAACTGGACCTTTTTGCAGTTATTTGTCTCATTTTCTCATTTTAATTTTGAGACTTAAATACTGCAATTTAATGACATTTTAAGCACTGTTTTTAGCTGGCTTAGTTTGTCAGATGGCCATAATAACCACACTTTTTGATATACCAAAAATATTTCCTAAAGATTAAGAATAAAAAAAAAAAAAAAAAAAAAATATATATATATATATATATATATATATATATATATATATATATATATATATATATATATATATATATATATATACAAATGCAAAATTTACATTTATTTGTCAAATGAAACTTCAATTAGGTGTCGTGGTGGTGCAGTTGGTAGCACATCATTCTCCAGTCTTCTATTGGCCACACCCATACACACATCCTCTTTTTCTACGAATTCTCTGCACACCATTAAAATTCTAAGCTTTTCTCAACCTCACATATTCTGTGTTCAGTTTTAACACATTTCCGCTGACAGGAAGTTTTGCTGCAAAGCTTAAGTTTTAGACAATCAGGCCTGTGCATCTCTATCAGCTTCATGTACTTCTGCAAAAATGCTTCATTATATGCAAAGCTTATCACATTCATACAGAAGTTCAGTTAATATATGTCCTTTAAGCAAGACAAATACAATTGTTTCATGAAAAAGAAAATGAGACTTTCCTTTGTAATTCCGTTTTCACAACACTATCTGTTGTATTGAGTGTGAACAAAAGTAGTAAAATGTCCAAATGCAGCTTTTTTTAAGCAAAGAATGGTCATAAAGGCTATGGATAATAGGCGTAGACAGAAAAAAAAAAAAAAACGTATTGGTTACTGTCATAACCCTTGTTACCTGAAGGAGGTAATGAAGACATTTTGTTGAAAACATTATGAGGAAACGCCAGATGACTAATCACTCTGTAGAGTAAGAAAACAGGCCCTTTTTCAGGGAACGAGGGTTATGACAGCAACCGAGACGCTCACTTTCACTTCTGGAACTCCAGCATTATGTTGAAAACATTATAGGGAAATGCATGGGAAGTGCCACAGTAGCTGAATCTGTTACACATTTGGTGAGAAGCTTGCCAAGCAAATAGAGTGAACGCACGTCACCAAAGGAGCAACATTCCAATGTCTCCTGGCCCTTAAATAACCAGAATCTGACAATACTAGAATTATCAAGGGGGCTTGAAAATGCTGAACCTAGTAATGTGCTAAGATTAAAAAAAATTTTTTTTCTGTATAGGACAGCAGCATGTTGGAAAGTGTCCCAGTCTTGAAGTGGGAGGGCGCTGCGGAGGCCACTGTCTACTCGAATGGGGCTGAGGTTTTTGGGATGTGTTATCGTGTTCAGTGGCAGATGTGATCTGTAGAGTGCCCTCTAGTGTGTCTGGTGGGCACTCAACTTAGTGATCATGGCACTGCGTAGTTATTAATAAATCTTTTGTAGCCAGTTGACTTGAGAAGCAGATAGAAGTTGTCAATGATGACGGGGTTTGAGTCCAGTGGAGATAAATAAATTTAATAAAATTGGTTGGGTTAAGGGAAGGAGGAAGCTGGGTCAGTCAATTGGTCAGTCAAACTGTCAGTCGACAGCAGCCTCTAGTGGGTTTACACAAGAACAGTAGGCGCGAATGGCACTCGTCAGACAATTTTGAGATCTCAAAAAGCATACACAGCAGCCTCTTGTGGATTCGGGAAAACAAAAACTGCAAAAAAATGTACCTTTTGGGCTACGTTTTCAGAATGGTATCTTTACTTCCTCCTACACTCAACTCCCCATAGAAAACTCACCCAGTCAGCTGTATAATTACTACAGATATGGTTAGATGATGACTACGGCTGTTTTCTGTTGACTGCATTCAAGGTGAGAAGTCTGACACACAAAAAAAACAACAACAGGTCAGCCAGACTTCCGCTTGAACCAAGAAAATGGGACTTTAAATGTGTATTGGTTTGTGCTGCTGTCTTCACTGCAGATGAAGTTGGTTTGTATTTGTCAGCATTTGTCAAGTAAAGATTTCAGATGTTTACAGGGGTGCTGAACATTCTTTAAGACAATTTTTGTTTGTATTACTTTTTTGTGTCCTGAAGAATAAGCGATTAATAAAACTGGGTGTTTTACTGTGGTTGTTTACAGTGCACAGCTGATTCACAAATACATTATTTACATCCTACTGCTCAGTTATCTGACCTTTTTTCTATATAAGGGTGTCTTGATATTATTTTAGGTCTATTTAATATTCAAATGAAATGAAATCGAATAAGAAAGTTGTTTGTTACTTTTATTAATCAAACAAAATGATTAAAAATATATTTTTAAGATCTACAGTATCTGTGCAGTGCAGAGATGGACCCAAGGGTTGTTAGAAATTGGATTAAAAGTATTTACCCTGTACTTACAATTGCAAAAATATCACTAAGAAGAATGTAATGTAGTTTTGGGGTCTGCACGTTCTCAGAAGATAACATTAACCTAAATTATATTTTGTATGTGTTTTTTTAAAGGGGGTAAAACAAGGTGAAGTTCTAAAAGAGATCAAGCCTCAGCAAATATCAGAATAGTTAACTCAAAAGTAACAATGCAATAACATAAAAGGTAACTAAGTAGCACACCTACTTACTTTTTTGGGGAGTAACTCAATATTGACTATAACTCAATAAATCCCCAACACTCCTGATTAGCTATTTTCCTGAAAAATCATCCTACCTAGTTATAATAAGGTATTTTGCACTGTATAATCATGCTATATCTTTATGTTTATCACACTAACTATTTCACACTAACAGGACAATATAATGAAATCAGAATCTTCGGAATCATCACAAACACAAAAGCAGAAGCGCACTGTATATTTTATAAGGCATAGGATGAACTGATAGGTACAGCTATAAATTTGTGCTATGGTAGAAAATTCTAACTGAGTAGGACAAATTGACATAACACTAGTAAGGAAATATGCAGAAACACTAAGACTAAATAAGACAAGGTGGGAAGGCCTAAAGACTTTGACAGGAGGTGCTTAGGGTTTTTTTACACCTCACTTTCATATCTATTTCAGCCAGGGCCCATTTCTGTTTGCCACAACTGATCTCTCGCTTCACAACTGAAATCTTCCATTTTTTTTTTTTACATTTGTTCTGCTGTTCAAACTGAAGAAAATGATTCGTTTGATTGTCTACAGTTTGACCCTATTGCACCTGTTTGGTAAGTTATACATTTGTACAGTAGTGTTGAAATCGGTGAAGTTCTTTAAAAATGTCAACTTCAGGCAAGTGTGTATTAGTTACATTTTCTTAAAGATATTATCAAACTATCATTATTTTTATTCTCCAGGTGAGTCTGGTGCTGTTGTAGTGCAGCCAGTGTCAGTGGTGGATGGAGATTCGATCACTTTAGAAATACAAAGAAACAGGGACATCGAGTGGAAGTTTGGACCTCAGAACATTCTCATAGCTGAGATCAGCAGTGGTCCGTATAAAATCACATTGCACGAAGACGCTCTTGATGGGAGTTTCAGAGGTAGATTGAAGCTGGATCAGACTGGATCTCTGACCATCAACAACATCAGAACAACAGACTCTGGAGATTATAATGTAATCGACACCAACGAAGAAATGCTACTCAACACATTCAAGCTGACTGTCCAAGGTAAGAACACCCTGTCTAAAGTATATATTTACATTTAATTACTGTAAATCAGGGTTCGAATAAGTCTAAATGACTCAAACCCACTAAGGGCATGTTTACACATCCTCCAAAGTGAAAACTATATGACAGCGCTGTTCCAAACTGTAGTGCTTAAAACTGGCCACTTTAAAAGGCCATTTAAATTGATACAACTGATGGACACTTCAGGCCATGATCCATTGAGCAGTGCATGGTGATGTCACTTGAAACAGTCTTAAAGTCCATTATCGGTCGAACAAACTCTTCAATTCAAAAGGGCTCATCTCTATCCTCTGATCCCTTCAGATTGATCTTGGGGAGGAATTAGGGCATAAGGATAAGTACTTCCAAATCAAACTTAGTGCAATCACACCGGTGTGATTAAGACGTTTAGAGTGCACATCATTAATTTCTCAATTCAAATCTGACGACATGCCCTGAGACATAGACATAGATGCACGATGCTAGTCAGAAATTACAATTTATCAGTGTTTACAAACAAATAACATTCATTTTAGGTTTCATACATTTAAATACAAATAACTAATAATGAATCTACATGTAAGGTTTCTAAAATACACACTGATGTCTATGGAGATGGCAGTAATAATACTTTTTAAATACAACTACTGTAGATGATGTGCTTTATTCACCAAATATAGAAAGTTTAGAAAAAAATCTAAACACACCAGTTCAAAAGGGCCCTATACTCTGATCCTTTCAGAGGGATCTTGGGGAGGGATTAGGGCATAGGGATGAGTACTTCTGAATGGAACCCAGTGCATTCACACTGGTGTGATTTGGGATGTTTAGAGCGCATATCATCAATTTCTTAATTCAAATCTGACGACATGCACTGAGACATAGACACAGATGCACGATGCAAGTCAGAAATTGCAATTAATCAGTGTTTACAAACAAATTTTCATTCATTCATTCAACAACATTCATTTTAGGTTTCATAAATTTTTTAATACAAATAACTCCTAGCGAAACATAACATCTAAGGTTTCTAAAATACGCACTAATGTCTATGGAGATGGCAATAACAATACTTTTTAAATATAACAAGATGATGTGCTTTAGTCACATAATATACAAAGTTTAGAAAAAAATTTCTGAACACATCAGTTCAAAAGAGCCATATGCTGTGATCCATTCGGAGGGATCTTGGGGAGGGATTAGGTCATAGGGATACTTTTCAATGGAACTCAGTGTAATCACACCGGTGTGATTATGACGTTTGAAGCGCACATCATCAATTTCTCAATTTAAATCTGACGACATGCACTGAGACATAGACACAGATGCACATAGACACATATACACGATTCTAGTCAGAAATTGCAATTTACCAGTATTTACAAACAAATAAGATTCATTTTAGGTTTCATACATTAAATACAAATAACTACTGGCGAAACATAACATCTAAGGTTTCTAAAATACACACTATTGTCTGGAGATGGCAATAATAATACTTTTTTTAAATATAACTAGATGATGTGCTTTATTCACATAAGATATAAACTGTTTATATTACTTGAATATTTACCCACATTACTCTCTCAGTCAAACAGCAACTTTTAAAGTTTAGAAGAAAATGATGGGCTAACATAACGTAAATCCAACAGCTCTGATTGCTTCAGCAGTGTAGAACAAACATGGCCAGTCTTGTTACTCAGTTACTTAAAATTTAAAATTAAACCTCTAGCCATCTACACAAATAAACTTCACTCAGCTTTCCCTTCATTTAAATCTTCTTAGTCTAACTATACTCTTAATGTATATACTATATTCAGGGGAAAAATGTGTTCTTTTGAGCAGAGAAATTGCTTTACACCTGCTTCTTGTTTTCAGTGGTCATTGTAGCTTCTGTTGGTAACTCTCATCAAAGTTGATCAGGCCAGAGGGCGGACTCTTTATTAAAATCTAATTTATTGTGTAATTTTTCTAGTTAGTTGTAGTAAATTCTATATTAAAAAAAAAATATTTAAACATTTTAACACTGCTAACAGTTTGACACTTCATCCCTCAGAAGATGGCCTTCCTAGCGGCGCTGTGATCCTTTTGGCTCTCACTGCTGTGGTGGGCCTGGCCGCGGTGGCTATACTGATTTATGAGTTCAGATCCAGAAGTCTTCAAAAGAAGAGGAATGTGCAAAAACAAGCAGACAACAGCCCTAATTAACAGTAGATGTTCTTGAATGATTGCATCCATTAGGGTAAATGTCATATAGCGAACTCATTCACAGATGCATTCACCTTAGTTTGCAGCAACAGATTTTTTTTTGATACCACTTGAGATAACCCTAACCACTTGAGGTAAAAGACTAACCAAATAACCAATGTTGAAGTGCAGTATATATTAAAACTTTTTGATAGAAACCAGTTTGTTTCATACTAATATTTTACAATTATTTTATTTTGTTATGAGTTTTTAAGTGTGTAGCTTAACCAAAAAAAATTTTTTTTTAAAAAAAACATCATGCATTTGAAACCATTCATCACTGACTTACTTATCTTTACTGATCATAATCTATGAATCAAGCCAAACGAACAACAACAAAAATATCTCACTTTTTTGTCATTATTTTCTGACAAAAAAATTATTTATTTTGAAATTTTGGCAAAAACTGCTTTGTGAAAAAGTCCTAGGCATTTTGTCCAATCAGGACCAAACTAGTGCTGAAATATTTGGTGCATTCCAAATTATATAGTTCACCCTATGAAGGGCACTTCAAAGTGAAAACAAAAATAACTTCCATATTGAAGTGTCGTTCCAAACCGAATTGCCTCAACATGGCCACTTTGAAGGGCCCTTCTGAATGAAAGATTTTGAAGGGTACTACTGATGGACACTTCAGGCATCCAGGATCCTTTGAAGTTTTATTTATTTCTATTTGTATAACAATGAACATACTGGGGTTGGACAATAAAACTGAAACACTCGTCAGTTTAGAGCTACAGGTTTAATGGCTACATTTGAGCAGCCCAGTGATCAATTTTCATTGAATGCACATTCCATCAGTAAGAGCAGTGTGAAGGTTTAATTTGCAGAGTAACAGCACAGTTTTGTTTAAACTATTGCAATGCATACAACATGTGGGTGACACATCAGAGTTTAAAATAAGACATACTGTTGACGCATGCCTTCTTGGTTCATCTGTGACCAAGGCAGCAAGTCTTTGTGATTATCAAGAGCCACAGTATCCAGGTTAATGTCACCATACCACCAAGAAGGATGAACCACATCTACCAGGAGTAATTGCGGACGCAAGTGAAAGCTGTTTGAAAGAGTTCTCTGGGTGTTAACCCCGATTGTATCCAAAAAACTTACTTCAGAATTAAATGTGCACCTCAACTCTCTGTTTTCACCAAAACTGTTCACCCGGAGATCCACAGGGTCAATAAACCTTTGGTCACTCATGCCAGTGCCAAACGTCAGTTTCAGTGCTGCCAGCAGTGAAAATCTTAGGCAGTGGACAATGTGAAACATGCATTGTTCTCTGATGGGACCACCTTTACTGTGTTTCTCACATCCATTAGAGTCACGCTGTGGAGAAAAAAGCAGCGTACCACCCAGACTGTTGCATGCGCAGGACGTACTCACACTATGTACGGTTGCTTTGAACCGGGTATGCTTGTTGATAACCATTGTTAATCCATATGAAACAGTCCCTTAAAAGTCACTTCACGTCTCGTCTTCAGTTTCAGGTTCAGGTGCACTTTACACTCACGATACAAGCGTACCGCGCCTGAGCCCTTGTGAACCCTGCTCTGGCACACTTCTTCCAACCGGGCCAGGACTGGCCAAATGAGCCGTGCCTGAGCCCGATTCAGAGCACCCACACTTCTCGGGCCTGGGCACAGTTCGGATAGCATAGTGTGAGTACACCCTCAGTATCATAGCATATCATAGCAGGATTTGTATCTATCATTTCAAAGACGGATTGATGCTGTATTGGCTGTAAAAGGAGGCCCTACATCATACTTATGAATTATTGTGTTCTAAAACTAGGCGTTTCAGTTTCATTGTCCAACCCCAGTACAACAGCAAAAACAGAAAAAAGTGAACTCAAGTAAAATAAAAGAAAACATAAAGACATGACAAATCCATTTTCAAATTTAGGTGCAAATAGAACCAAATTACTCAAAAAAAAAAATTAAAAGCTTCAAAATAATGAATTTTTTCTGTTTTATTATTTAGTGTTTTAATGTATAAAGGTTGGAATTCATTTTCAATCCTAAAATTAGTAAAAAGCAGTGACAACCACTTTAGGTTTTCTTTTCCTTTATATGCTTTCTTAGTCAATTTTTGATCTCAGAAATAAAGGTAAAGGAGCTGTCACTGGGGCATACCTTTTTAAAAGATACATATTTGTACCCAAATAGTCCACAAAAGGTGCATATTAGTACCCAAATGTAACTAAAAATTACCTTTGAGATACCATTATGGACCCTTCAGGTATAAATGTGTACCATTATTTCTGAGAGCGTACAGTTTGTGTGGTGATGTTGTAGTGTAAACAGATTTTTAAATGTCTGTTTTAAAAAATTAACTCTACCATTTTAATGTATTTTTATTTTATCTCAGACAAGACGTATGTGATTAATTCAATGTCTTACTCACATTAAGAGCACATGCAAATTATTAATTTATTATTACTAATTACTAATAATTTACTACATATCTCTCTCTCTCTTTCTCTCTCTCTCTCTCTTTTGCTGTGATGGTGACATCCAAGATATCTTTTATGCAATTGCATAGGCATTACATTGTTATTTGCTATATTATTAAATAAAATTGCTTACATTTTAACTCTTGTGCCTCATTCTTTACTTTGGGGGTTTTGCAAACACAATAGCTCTGCTTTAGGTTCATTTTACAACTTTAGACTGTCAGTCAGCACATAACAGCTTTGCAAGTTTCCATGTGTTAATTGAGAATAAAAGATGCACAATAACAGATATTTTTAAAAATAAAACAACTTTACTATTGGCTCTGGAAACATTTCTTATTAAGCACACACTTTATTTACATCAAGAATATCAATTTTAAAAACAGTGCCTGGCTTTAAAAATGAAGTAAAATAAAGCATTAGATGGAAAGAAACCTGTTTAAAGCGGTCATATCTTTATAGATGTGGCTGTGTTTGTTAAAACAGCATTCTGGGAAACTGCTGACCGCTTGATTATAAAAGCACTGAGGGTAAATTGAGTCAAAAGAAGAACTGAGCACAGTCACAAAATTAAATGTGTGCACAAGTCAAAATATATTTCATGCTAATCTTATTCTGGTCTGCTTGCAGTAAGAATATTCATGCATATTTAGATTCAGCAATGTTGCTAAGAGCTTGCATGTTGTTTGCGTCAAATTCTGACTCTACATCTAAATGTTGATTTAAATATTGATGAAAGATTTAGCGCACTTTAAAAAAACTAAATTTCATAACACAACATTGGGTCAAATATGGGCAAACTCAAACACTGTGTTAAAAAAAATTTCATTTTTTATTTTATTGTAAATTTTTTTATTGCAGTTACAAAACACACAAACTTGCAGCATAAATTATCTCATACGGTACGTTCATATCTTGTAGTCAACAACTTACAAAACAGAAAACAATAAATAGCAAGGAAAATAAAGACAAATAGAAAACAACAGTATACGTACTGTTCACATGCACAAGGCACAACTGCACATACATATAAACACAATACAATAAAATAAATAGAATTTAAAAAATAGTAATAAGTTGAGCCTCCTATTATAAAACATGTCCATCATTTTTCACATACATATCCTTTATTCTCTCATCAGGTGTATCCTTATTTTTTTTTAGACATAAAAAGGTTCCAAGCATCTTCAAAAACTTTATCTATTTAATAATGTATGTAATTTTCTTCAGTGACATATTTAGGCAAGGCAAGGCAAGTTTATTTATATAGTACATTTCATACACAGTGGCAATTCAAAGTGCTTTACATAAACAGGAATAAAAAAAAAACAAGTTTAGGACATAAAATGCAGACAATAAAAATGATTAAAAACAGATTTAATTACTTAATTACTGCAACCTTAATAGATAAATTAATTGTATTCATTTCCATATACTCTATTTATATTCTTTTTATATACAGTTGAAGTCAGAATTATTTGCCCCCCTGAATTATTAGCCCCCTGTTTATTTTTTTCCCCAATTTCTGCTTAACGAAGAGAATATTTCTTTAACACATTTCTAATAGTTTTAATAACTCATTTCTGATTTATTTTATCTTTGCCATGATGACAATAATAATATTTTACTAGATATTTTAAGACACTTCTTTACAGCTTAAAGTGACATTTAAAGACTTAACTGGGTTAATTAGGTGAACTAGGCAGGTTAGGGTAATTAGGCAAGTTATTGTATAATGATGGTTTGTTCTGTAGACTATCAGAAAAGAAAATGCTTCAAGGGGCTAGAATTGTTGTCCTTAAATTGGTGTTAAAAAAATTAAAATTGATTTTATTCTAGCCTGAAGTAAAACCAATAAGACTTTCTCCAAAAGAAAAAAAAAACATTATCAGACATACTGTGAACATTTCCTTACTCTGTTAAACATCATTTGGGAAATATTTAAAAAAGAAAACAAAAATTCAAAGGGGGGCTAATAATTCTGACTTCAACTGTATGTATACTATTAAAGAAACCCAAAGTAACATTATAAATGTGTGTGCTTCTTGATGTAATCACATGCTCAACTGTAGTTTCAATCAGTTGAATGGTTGGAATGTGCCAGTTGCAGCAATATTGTGCTTACAATGATTTGACAATGGGATTCTACCAAACAAACTGTTTAGACCAATGAATAAAGTTGTGTTTCTTCTATTTTGTTTACTTACTGCAACAACATGAATTTTTTATAATGAATCTTGAGTCTTGGAATATTTTTTCATCCTGACAAATCTTCTTAAGTCACCTTTACTTATGCCTCTAACTTTTTCCAATAAAGGGCTAAAATTTATTTAGCTTGTAAAAAACACATATAGACAAATATATATTCTCTTCTGAAACTTATATTACTAAAAATATAAATATAATATCAAAGTTTTTGGTACAAGAGGGATAGTGGCATTCATTATTTCATTTTACACTGCCATGCGCAAGTTCCTTTACCTGAATGACATTTAGGACAGGTGTCAGAGATGTTGTCATTGAATTTATTAAGTAAAAGTGGGGTTATATAAACTCGCATTAGCCCGTATTATGTGTTAATTTCAATCTTGTGTTCAGCGTTTGTGTCTACAGGCTTCTCTCCAATCATTCAAAGAAAGTTCCTGACTGAGATTTTTCTTCCATGCTTTTGACTCTGAGTTTGCAGATTGCAGAGATTATTTAACATACATGTTAAATAGTAAAACATGTCATTTAATTTTGATTGGAAAAACAACAATAATGTGTCAGGATATGAACACCATATTCTTCAGCCTGCTGTTTCTCCATCAATTTCTTCTTCTGTTAACACCTGTGAAAAAAATAGCATTTTTTTACTGACAAGATTGTTGGAATTCATTCTCAGATTTCACCTGTAATCAATGTTCCAACAATTTCTGTTGCCCCCTTGAAAAATCTAACCAGCATTATTCCTTTGTCTCTGTTACAACTTATTGACATTTTTGCACATGAAGTCTTCTGGTTCTTCATGTCATTCCTGCCACCTTATTTAAGGATGCGATGCACTCAATTGGTCCAAGTGTGCTTTACATTGTAAATATTAGTTTGTCTACTGACATTAGTAGTTTTAAACATGCTGTTATTTAGCCCCTACTAAAGAAGATTAATCTTGATGCCTCAGACATGAAGAATTTTCGCCCTATTTCTAAATTGCCTTTTATCTCAAAGATTTTAGAGAAGATTGTGTCTATACGGCTAAATGAGTTTCTGGCTAATAATAATATTTTTGAGAAGTTTCAGTCAGGATTTAGAGCTGCTCATAGCACAGTCTGCTCTATTGATGGTTTTAAATGATATTTTGTTGGAGGTTGATTCAGGTAGCCCTGTTGTTCTTCTACTGTTAGATCTCACTGCTGTTTTGATACAGTGGATTATGACATTCTCACTGATTGGCTTAGAGAACACGCTGGTTTCCAGGGTCTACCCTTGGATTGGTTCTTCTCATATCTGAAGGATAGAACTATCTCAGTCAGTTTGGGCAACTCTTCTTCATCTGTCATTCAGTTAATGTGTGGGGTTCCGCAGGGCTCGATACTGGGTCCTGTTTTGTTTTCCCTTTACCTACTTCGTCCATCAGGAAAAAATTTTGAAAACCATGGCATAAATCTATATACTGATGACTGTGAACTTTCTCATAATATTGTGGGGACCAATTCTTCCTTCAGGCTTTGTTTAATTGTTTGGCTGATGTGAAGTGTTGGTTAGCAAATAACTTTCTCCAACTGAACGAGGACAAGTGTGAATTCAAAGTTCTTGGTCAAAAAGGTTTAAATTCTAATGGCAATCTGTCATTGCTTCCTGGAAAAATACCTTCCTCTATAAAGAGTTTTGGTGTTATTTTTGAATCTGAGCTTAAATTTGATTGGCAAATTGATGCGGTTGTCAAAAATATGGTTGTTCATTCCTTCATTTTTTCTCATCTGGATTATTGCAATGCATTGTATCTGGGTGAGAGTCAGGCCTCTCTCTCACAACTGCAGCTGATCCAGAATGCAGCTGTCAGGCTCTTAACAGGCACAAAAAAACGAGGACACATTACACCTTTACTGGTTTCATTACACTGGCTGCCAATACAGTTTAGATATCACAAAGTTCTGCTGTATGTTTTTAAATACCTCCGTGGCCTGGCCCCTGAGTATATGTCTGAGCTAATTAATAGACACCAACCCGTGAGATCTCTTCACTTAAAGGATATTTATTTGTCTTAATAAGTCTTTATTTGACAGTTCCACGATCACGCTTAAAGTGTCGAGGTGATAGAGCTTTTTCAATTGCAGCTACAAGACTTTAGAACAATCTTCCACTCTCTTTAAGAACAGCTCCTACTTTTGAATCTTTTCAGAGATCACTGAAGACACACTTGTTTTCTTTGGCTTTTAATCATGTGCTGTGAATTTATGTACTTTGGTTTTTGCATGGGTTTTATTTGTTTTTGTTTTTTTTTTTATGTACAGCACTTTGGTACCCATTGTGGTTTGTTGAAAGTGCGAGTTGAGTTTGACATTTGACCCAGCGCTATGTGGTGAACTGACAGAAAAGCTTGAACATCAACTACACTGTAAAAAGAATCTTTTATTTGATGTTTTTTTTTTCTTTTTCTGGCAGCTGGAGTACTGGAAAAAAAGAAGTAAATTAACGGCAATTAAATTACCAACAATTTCGGTAAAAACACAGATGGTATATTACAGAAATTTACCGGAAATTTCTTTCATTTTTTTTTTTCTTTTAACACACTGATATGTGAAAACTAAAACGAAAATGCAAATGATTGAATCATGTGATAAATCACACTTCACAAAATAGCAAACTTAATTTAAAAATGCAGCCTGTAATTAAAGGTTACGTTTTACGAATCCGTCATCATTTATTCTCCCTTGTCTCAAACCAACTTCATCTCTTCTGTTGAACACAAAAGAATAAATGAACATGGATATCTGTAATCACTGACATCCACAGTATTTGTTTTTCCTACTATGGATGCCATTACAGGATTTTAACATTTTTCCGAATATCTTTTTTTGTTGAACAGAAAAAGGAAACTCTAAAGGTTTGGAAACATTTGAGGGCTAGTATATAGTGAGTGTATTACGGAAGCGTAGAGCTGCCACCCAGGTAAAAAAAAAAACTGAGCTTTATCACGTTTGTACAATATACTTTTCACGTTCTTACAATATAATATCACGTTCTTACAATATAATATCACGTTCTTACAATATACTTATCACGTTCTTACAATATAATATCACGTTCTTACAATATAATATCACGTTCTTACAATATACTTATCACGTTCTTACAATATAATATCACGTTCTTACAATATACTTTTCACGTTCTTACAATATAATATCACGTTCTTACAATATACTTTTCACGTTCTTACAATATAATATCACGTTTGTACAATATACTTTTCACGTTTGTACAATATAATATCACGTTCTTACAATATAATATCACGTTCTTACAATATACTTATCACGTTCTTACAATATAATATCACGTTCTTACAATATACTTTTCACGTTCTTACAATATAATATCACGTTCTTACAATATACTTATCACGTTCTTACAATATAATATCACGTTCTTACAATATACTTTTCACGTTCTTACAATATAATATCACGTTTGTACAATATACTTTTCACGTTTGTACAATATAATATCACGTTTGTACAATATAATATCACGTTCTTACAATATAATATCACGTTTGTACAATATACTTTTCACGTTTGTACAATATAATATCACGTTCTTACAATATAATATCACGTTCTTACAATATACTTATCACGTTCTTACAATATAATATCACGTTCTTACAATATACTTTTCACGTTCTTACAATATAATATCACGTTTGTACAATATACTTTTCACGTTTGTACAATATAATATCACGTTTGTACAATATAATATCACGTTCTTACAATATAATATCACGTTTGTACAATATACTTTTCACGTTCTTACAATATAATATCACGTTTGTACAATATACTTTTCACGTTCTTACAATATAATATCACGTTTGTACAATATAATTATCACGTTATTACGTGAAAACTTTATTGTTTAGGCTACGTTAACCTGGTGCGATTAGAGCGTGAGAAAATGTCTCGTTTAACTGAGTTAATCAAGTTTTATTTTATGCTTGGATTGAGACATGGGGAAATTTTGCAGCTACTGATCAGCTTGGACAATGTTGTTATCAGCATGCGGACACTGAGAAGGAACCTAAAACACATGGGGCTGTACAGGAGGAAGAATGAGTCTGATCCGATGGAAGTGGCTGCATTTCTTATTGATCAGCTCGAGGGACACGGGAGGCTCCATGGATACAAACTACACCACCTGAATTGCATTCAAGCGGGTTATGTTGTCACTCAGAGTACTGTCCGTCATTTGCTTAAATATCTAGATCCTTATGGTGTTGAGCAACGACGCAAAAATCGTCTAATCCGACGGATGTATGTTAATCCTGGACCAAATTTCATGTGGCACGTCGACTCCTACGACAAACTGAAGCCCTTTGGAATCTGTATAAATGGAGCCATTGATGGTTTTTCGAGAGCTATGATTTGGCTTCATGCCTTTTCAACAAACAGTGATCCCAAAATCATTGCTGGGTATTTCATAGCAGAAGTTGAAAAGAGGCTTGGGACACCTTCCCGGATTCGCTCCGATCTGGGAACAGAAAATGTCACAATGGCAGACATGCAAAGATTCTTGCGATGGAGTACGGATCATAACGTCACTAACTGTTTTATTACTGGGTCTAGTAATCACAATCAGCGAATTGAAAGCTGGTGGGCCTTTCTGAGACGGCATCATGCTCAGGACTGGATGAATCGTTTCCAGGATCTAAAAGACAATGACAGTTTCTCTGGATGCTTTTTGGACAAGCAGCTCATATTGTTTACATGCCTGAACGTCATTGAGGTATATGTCACCATCCTTATACTTTCTCGTTTGTGTGCGTGCGCGTATATTGCGTGTGTGCGTGTGTGTGTGTGTGCGTGCGTGCGTGCGTGCGTGTTTGAGAGAGAGAGGGGAGAGAGAGATTGATGATGCTTACTTACTGGGTATTCTACACGTTTTCTTTGACAAGTAGCTTATCACAACTTTACCCGAGTAATATTGTAATGCAGTATTATTATATAGCCTACTTGAAATTCTGAAACTTACGGATATAGCTGTACTCTTGCTGCCCTACCTCTTACAGAGTACATAAAATGTGCTTTGACACCACTCATATAACTATAATAGACTTAATATGATTCTGTTCAAGACTTGAAACATGCAATATTTCACTGTTTAGACACATTTACACAATATCACACAAACAGGGCAATTCTTGATACCATCATTCTATCACAACCACTGTTATTATTTTGATGAAAGTATTTTTGACAAACTGACTTCTTCTCTGTCCCTGTGTTTTGTTTTTTGTTTATTTCTTTTTTTTACAGGAAGAGCTCCAGCAAGTTGTGCATCTGTGGAACACCCACATTATACGCAGAAGCAGAAGTGCAGTTGCCCCAAGTGGACGTCCGATTCTGATGTACACCATCCCTCATCTTTTTGGAGGACAGGATTATCTAAAAGAGGTTTCTCAGAATTCAGTGGATGTTTGTAAGCAAGAATGCCAACAGAGAGGACCTTATACCTGTGATGAAACAGTTTTCAGCTTGTGCTGCCTTATAATGTCAGAGAACTTCTTAACTCCACCAAGTACAGCAGATGAATCCATTGAACTGTATCTTTTCCTGAGAGCCTATATCCTGAAGGACTTACAACTTGGGCACTTTTACTGATACAATTTTGGGCACATCATTTTATTTGTGTGACAATTTATCACTTTTGTTATTTATTTGTTTTCGTTTTCTAATCAAGATCATAGCAAGTGAATGCCGACATATTAAACCAAATCTATGTACTCAATTGAACAATCAAAATGAAACAAATCCCTTGACATTAACAATTCCAAATGCAGTGCCAAAGTGTGGTTGCTGTACACTACTTTGTTTTAATAAACTGAGATTTTTAGTTGCAGTGACATTACTATAGTCTAATTTTTGAGAAAGATACATATTATTTGCATAATCTGTAAAAAATTCTTTAAGGTTTTTTCCTAAAAGAAGACTATATAAATATTTTGAAAATTTACAATGTCTTGTTACTTTTGATATGTCACCTTTTGAATATTGGCCAATTACAATCTATGACTCATTTATTGGTGCATCTTTAACTAGTTCAGCACACGATAATACATAACCTCTAAAACATTATTCAGACAAAAGGCAGGAAAAAACAAAAGTACAAAAATTCAAACTGCCTTCTTAGTTTAAACATATTCCAGATTCTTTCGGAAGATGAAAACACTGTAAATGTGATCATTCTTTATCTACATCCATAAAATACATTCAACATAAATAATATGAAATACACCTTTTTATTTTGTATAAGGTGGCATTATGTCTTTATGGCTTGAATTTTGAGTATTACAGCATGATGTTTGTAATGGAGTTACTGGGTTGTTTTCAAATAAAAACTCAACTTCAGAGATGATTTTTCAACAATAAAATTCCTCCTTATTTTTAACTGCTTTTTGACTGCATTGTGATTTAAGCACCAATTTAAAGCTTGGTTGTTGGAGCAGGTGGAAAATCTGGAGAATACAAAATGAAGATTAAAACTAAACTTAATACCAACTTATACAATGACTGGGTAAAGCACCAATAATTGTGTGTGTAATGATGTTCTATTTGATACAAGTGGCTAACAGTAATGTATTACAAATGGTTTTGGTGTTTCTTAAAATGTTATATAATATATGTTATATGCTATTCATTGTCATTTATGAGATCTTGTAACCAGTGTCTTTAAATTGGATAAAAACATTGTTCAACTGTTATCCACCCTTTAATAGTTTCTTGTTAACTAGTAAATAGAAATAAATCATAATTATTTAGCAATAAACAAACACCGTTATATATAAATCTCCCTTTAATTTGAATGTAAATGGAAGAAAACATGGACTCTCAATAAACACTGTAAAACTCAACTCAAATACCAGTGTTCTGTGTACTTTTTTCTCGTCAAATATTGCTTCAATAAAAAAATGCCAATTAAATTATCTCAAGTCATTCTTCAAAATATTATAAAGTGAATGATGGCAAAAAGTAAATAAGATACTTTAAAATAATAAATCTCTTGAATTATTGCATTAAACATACAACTTCTTGCATTTCACAGAATTATAACACAGACCTGTTAAAAACAGCCTAGGCAGATCTTAAGAACTGTAATTTTAAACCCTTGCTGCCAAACAATATGAACTGGTTAGACATGCTTAGTTAACATTTCAATTGGTAAACATTTGAACTATGAAACCTTTAAGAACTGTAATTTTAAACAATGTGGACCTCTTGTTGCATAATAATATGAGCTGGTTAGACATGCTTGGTAAACATTTGAATTATGAAACCCTTAAATTGAAAAAAAAAATTGTTCTTGTGAAGAAAAAAATTATCTTCTATTTTTGAAAGGAAATTCAAATATAATTACAGCTTTTTCCCCTAACATATGTAAGCTCTTCCTCTTTTTTTCAAAACAAAAATGTGATCATTGTAGGTTATTTTACCATATTAATTTGGACTTAATTGTTCCATCAAACTTTTCATTCTTTGGTTTACACATGGTGTACTTCTATCAGACTATGCTGAACTCGTAAGAGCTTTTGGCGGCTAAAACATTGTCAAGTTCAGTCCGTAGCTCTGGGTAAGAGGTGTAGGTCCATGGTAGTTCCAGAACAGGACCACACGTGTGTGCCACGGGTCGTCGTGCCAATCCATCCGACGATGTGAACAGGACCTCTATCTGGCAAACACAGATGACATCTGACCCAGTAACAAACCTGAACATCCTTCTGAGCCCTATTTCATCAAGTCCTCTGATGTACTGTTGCAGAAATCTGAAGCTTTGCTTCTCTGCCTGAGTAGTGGGAGATGCAGAAAGCAACTTCAAAAGCTTTCTAGTTGTTGGCTTTTTCTCTTCATACATTTTTAGGACATCTTTTGGACTTTGAAAAGCTTCTTTTAGGAAATGGCTTGCAACTGAGGACATTTTCTCTGCTGCATATGCTGGTTTTTGGATTAACTGTTTGTGTGCAACTTTCAAAAGAAGGCCTTTTAAGTTCTCTGTGGTTGGAAGCACTGATACATCCAGGCGATCCATGAGATCCAGCAGTTCATCCCTGTCTTCATCTGAAAGATCCTCGTTTAGAGCCCTCGTTACCAGATCCCTGTCTGATTGACTAAGATAATAGAGAAGACTATCAAACAGCATTTCATTTGATACTTGATTTTCACCAAAGATGAGTGCCACCGTGAAAACAGGGGAAAGGCGACAAGGAAAATATCCATGGTCTTGAAATCCCTTTAGTAATATTCTACCCATGGACTTCCACTCTTCCTCTTGCCATTTAGGGGACAGTGAAGGCACCCTGAACTCCTCCCCTTCAGCTGTGTTATCGAGAAACTCTGACCAAAATGCAGCATACACATCCCTTGATACGCCATCAGCATCATCTCCTTTTTCATCAATATAGGTGTATTTTAGAGGGTAGCCCAGGAGTGCTGGATCTTTGAACTGGGTGATCATCTCCTCCAGAATATTGACCCTATGAAGTTTGATGGTGATACAGACAAGATCATATGATGCTGGAGAACTCATTGCTTCATTGCTTATGGATGGGTTTGGAGTACTGACTGCTATGTTTATTGAAGGAGGTGTAAGGGATGTGATGACCAGATCATCATCTTCAAGTATTACAGTGTCATCAAGATGACAAGCTAGAGGTTCTCCAAGGTAGGGGCCAATCATTACCTCTGATGTGTCCGATGCATCTTGATCGGCATTCGTAAAATCGGATGACAAGACCACAATTGTTTGAGGAGCTTCCATGTCTTCTTGAGGTGGATCAGTCAGTTGTGCTGAGGTGTTCACATGTGTTTCCCCATTTTCAAAAGCTTCCTCTTCATCATCATCATCCTCATCATTGGATATTTTTTTAGTGCACAAGTAAAATCTCAGCATTCCCATTTTAAGTGCAGAGTATAGGTCTCCAACTGTGACATCTTCATCAAATACAGCCTCTTCTTGATAGTCCAATATGTCATGATTAAAGACTTCCCACCTCCCAAATTTGTTTTTTCCACTTGGAAAGAAAAGATCTTTAGCATGCTGTAAAATCTCAGATTTTTTGGCGTCTTTGGAAACATCGAAGGTCCTTGTTCCTCCTCCTCTGCGCTTTCTCACTTGCTTCCCTTCATGGATCCACCCCAACTCAATTTTTCGAGTCTTTTTTTCAGCCCATCTATTATTTTGTGCATATTCTCTTTTCCTCTTGGACCCAAATGTCTCCTCATGGTCAGGTTTCTTCTCATTTTCATTGATACCCATCCTTTGCTTCAATCGTTCAAACAATGAGTTTTTTCTTGAATCTTTTGAACTTGCACTATTGTTTTGCAAGCAGAACCGTCTTGCAGCTATCCGATCACCATATGTTGGGATGTAACCAGACAGGGTCTTGTCATCCATGAGATCAATCACTGTGGCATCTATCTGTAATGACAAAAATATTTATTACTTTACAAGTACACAAGGTATACCTGCTGCCTATCCTGACTGATTACATTAATTGTAGATCACAATAAAACGTAAAAATTATAAATACACTCTTCAGATGTTTTAAATTTTTTTTTTTCTATAATAAAGTGAAAAAAAAGAATGCAGTTCCAACCTATGCTGAATAAATTACTACAGTTGGTTACAAGTAACAGAATAACATTTATCCAATTTTGCTGATTACCTTTATTGAATTATATTCTCTCTAAACTATATTTTCTCTATTAATTTAATCTTTACAAGATATCGTCAATTATAAACACTATAAATTTGGTTAAAAACATCTTGGTTGCCCAGTTTTAGTTTGATATCATGTACATTTTGTATCAGTTCCCTTACAGAATAAAAAATAATGTAATACATTCCTGATTCGTTTCTTGAAAACAAAAGTCACATTTCCCTGTAGCTTATTTCCACTGTTTGAATAATATATTGTTTAAACCTGGATAACTCCCCTTTTGTAGCTCCCCTTTTCTTTTGGGCAGTCTGGGACAGGAGGTGGTGAAGGTGGCCTCGGTGGTGGCGGTCCATTTTTGTGCGTGTGGTGGGTTCCCTCACGTTGGCGTGAATGCTCACTATTGCCTGGGGTGACTTTATTAAATTATTCGTACTTGTTTCTTTTTGGGATTTAATCCCCCGTGTGTCTATTTCCTCCTCCAGTTAGTCTCAGCCCTGCAAGTTTTATTCCCTGTTTGTCTTGTTGCCCTTTTTTTTTAAAAAGAAAAATGTTAAACTTGTATTTTAAAACCTATTTTTCTAAAATAAAATGTATTGTAAATTGTGGAACCACTTCTTATGCATCATTTAGTGGAGCTATCATTTATACAAAATAAAATTTGAGTTAAAAAGAATAGAACTAAGAATTTTAGCCCTAGCCCTGCCCTGGCCCGAGACACTAGCCGCGTTTCCACTATCGCGCCTAAAGCGAGCGAGCCAGGGCGAGCCAAGGCCAGTGGCGTTTCCACTGTCACTTCCGGGGCCTAATCGGGCCAAAGCGGGGCTTTCTCGGGGCCAACGGCCAGCCTTTTTCGGCCCGCCGAATACCTTGGGCCAAGGAGGGCCAGCCGGGGCTTCGGGGCGGAGTGAAAGGAGAGGCGGGCACAGTTTTCCGATCGCACTCGAGTACATGCGCCAAACAAATAAATAAATAAGGGAAAGAAAACATCTGGAACAAATTATAGGCTGGGGTCTTTTTTGCATATGATCGCCGTTAAGTTTATCTTTTAAATGTAAGGCTGTTGCATAAAATGATCTTTCTTTGCTGCATCTTTGATGTTTCAATAACGCATAATCTTTACACCATATTAAAGACACAGCAGACAGTAAAGGTTTTCAAGAGGTTTTGTCAAGTTTAATACTGTGTGTGTTTTTGTGCGTTTAGATGCCTGTGTATGTGTGTGAGACAGAGGAAAAGAGCGCTCCATTCATAGCTCTGTTGATGCCGCGTGCGGCTTTTTTCTTTTATTTTTATTGTTTTAATTTATTTTGGAGATAATACACTATATGAATACAACAGTAGGACATTAAACTTTACAAATTTCATGTCCACTTTTGTAGGCTCAAAACAATAGTGTCATATCTAGATAAAATAGCCCTATATTGAAATAATTTAAAGAATTACAAATATTAGATAGGCCAATAATAAAATCCAATAAAATAAATAAACCAATATAAAACTAACAAAAGCTATAGCTATAACAATTAGGTACTATATCAAACTGTTTCAATTTTAGATATTTTCTAAAAAAATAAAAATAAATAAACACCGGAAAATGTTTTAAATATTATTTATAAAGTATTTGGATACGATGAAATTAATCAAATCATGCAAACAGAGCATTTTCGGGGTGAGTGAACGCAGAAACTAGGCGACCTTTTTTCTGTCTGCAGCTGCGCAGCACTTTTTTGACGGGGAAAACTGCAAGTTCAAAATGTGTTCTGTGTCCTCAAACAAGTGTGTATGTTTTTATATGACGTGGTAAAATTAAAAAAGGACATTTTAAATACATAAAGAGCTTTATTAGTGCATAGCTGCTGAGCGCAACGAAATATAGGCTATATTTTATTACGTGCTGCTCTTATGTGCTGAAACACTGAACACTTTCCTTTACTTAAGATATAATAAGCAACATCTTTAAATAAAGGGAATCACCTATTAAGTGTCATAAAGCCTATAGGGGGGAAATAATCATGTTTCAGTTCTCTCCGGAGCATTTGGGATGAATGTTGGACAGACTCTGTCTAGAGGATGTTATAAAAAACATTTTATATCGAGTTATTAACGGAGAATTATATATATGTGGTGTTATATTATGGATGTGTGCGCTCCCTGCGCTCCGGGTCCCTCCGTTGGTGGCAAGACCACTGGATTTCGATGCCAGTCGGTCGGCGAGTAAATGAATATGATGAATGAAAACACACAGGCAT